CCCGGGGGCTGTGCGACCAAAGAAGACAAAGGGAAATCTGTCCCAGCAGTCTCAGGAGCAGCAGATTAAACCTCCACAATCAACTAGATGTACCCTGCGTCTGTGGAATACCTGAATAGACAACGAATCATCCCAAATTGAGGAGGTGGACTTTGAGAGCAATGACATATATATTTTTTAACCTTTTTCTCTTTTTGTGAGTGTGTATGTATATGCTTCTGTGTGTGATTTTGTCTGTATAGCTTTGCTTTTACCATTTGTCCTAGGGTTCTGTCTGTCAATTTCTCTTTTTTAATTACTTAAAAATATTTTTTTCTTAATAATTATTTTTTATTTTAATAACTTTATTTTATCTTCTTCTTTCTTTTTTTTCTCTCTTTTATTCTGAGCCTTGTGGAGGACAGGCTCTTGGGGCGCCAGTCAGGCGTCAGGGCTGTGCCACTGCGGTGGGAGAGCCAAGTTCAGGGCACTGGTCCACAAGAGACCTCCCAGCTCCACGTAATATCAAACGGTGAAAATCTCCCAGAGATATCCATCTCAATGCCAAGATCCAGCTCCACTCAACAACCAGCAAGCTACAGTTCAGGATACCCTATGCCAAACAACTAGCAAGACAGGAACACAACCCTATCCATTAGCACAGAGGCTGCCTAAAATCATAAGGCCACAGACACCCCAAAACACACCATGAGACATGGACCTGACCACCAGAAAGACAAGATCCAGCCTCATCCACCAGAGCATGGGCACTAGTCCCCTCCACCAGGAATCCTACACAACCCACTGAACCAACCTTGGCCACTGGGGACAGACACCAAAAACAATGGAAACTACGAACCTGCAGGCTGCGAAAAGCAGACCACAAACACAGTAAGTTAAGCAAAATGAGAAGACAGAGAAACACACAGCAGATGAAGGAGTAAGATAAAAATGCACCAGACCTAACAAATGAAGAGGAAATAGGCAGTCTACCTGAAAAAGAATTCAGAATAATGATAGTAAAGATGATCCAAAATCTTGGAAATAGAATGGAGAAAATACAAGAAACATTTAACAAGGACGCAGAAGAACTAAAGAGCAAACAAACAATGATGAACAACACAATAAATTAAATTAAAAATTCTCTAGAAGGAATCAATAGCAGAATAAGTGAGGCAGAAGAATGGATAAGTGACCTGGAAGATAAAATAGTGGAAATAACTACCACAGAGCAGAATAAAGAAAAAAGAATGAAAAGAATTGAGGACAATCTCAGAGACCTCTGGGACAACATTAAATGCACCAACATTTCAATTATAGGGGTCCCAGAAGAAGAGAAAAAAAAGAGACTGAGAAAATATTTGAAGAGATTATAGTTGAAAACTTCCCTAATATAGGTAAGGAAATAGTCAATCAAGTCCAGGAAGCACAGAGAGTCCCATACAGGATAAATCCAAGGAGAAACATGCCAACACACATATTAATCAAACTATCAAAAATTAAATACAAAGAAAAAATATTAAGAGCAGCAAGGGGAAAGCAACAAATAACATACAAGGGAATCCCCATAAGGTTAACAGCTAATCTTTCAGCAGAAACTCTGCAAGCCAGAAGGGAGTTGCAGGACATATTTAAAGTGATGAAAGGGGAAAACCTAAAGCTATAGTGATTAAAATAGTGTAATATTGGAATAGAAATAGATCAGTTGACTAAAAAAGGATTCAGAAACAAATCCATATAAATTTGAAATTTGGTGTATAAAAATATGTCATTTCAAACAATTGTGGAAAGGCTGGCCTAAACAATAAATAGTTTGGGGTCAACTGGCTGTCCATTTAGCAAAAAAACTTAGAGTTCTCTTCATACCACACATTTTAAAAACTAAATTCCAGAGGGATTAATAAGTAAAATGTAAAATAACAAAAGCTCTAGAATACAGGAAATATTTTTATAATCTTGGGGAAAGATCTTTCTAAGACACAAAACTCAGAAGCTACAAAGGAAAGGAAGGACAGATTACCGCACAAAAATGTAAAATTTCTATAGAAGACATTTTTAACAGAGAAAGTATTAATATCTCTAGTATAAAAATAAGTCATATAAATAAATAAAAAAACAAAAGGCAAACACCCAATAAGGCAAAAAATATGAACATGTAGTCCACGAAAGAACAAAATACTAATACCTAATAAACATATGAAAAGATGTTCAACTTCACTGGCAATTAGGAAAATACAAATTCAAAATGAGATGCCACAAACTACCTGATTAAAAAATGGGCAGAGGCTCTGAATAGGCATTTTCCAAAGAAGACATGCAGATGGCCAACAGGCACATGAAAAGATGTTCAACATCACTAATTATTAGGGAAATGCAGCTCAAAACACAAGACACCACGTCACACCTATTAGAATGGCGATTATCAAAAAGACAAGAAATATCAATAACAGTGTTGGAGAGGATGTGGAGAAAAGGGAAGCCTTGTGTGCTATTGGGAACATAAATTGGTAGAGCTACTATGGAAAACAGTATGGAGATCCCTCAAAAAATTAAGAATAGAACTACCATATGATTGAGCTATTCCAACTCTGGGTATTTTTCCAAAGAATACAAAAACACTAATTTGAAAAGATAGGTGCACCCCTACATTCACTGCAGCATTATTTACAATAGTCAAGATGTGGAAACAACTTAGGTTGGTTGTTTTCACGATGGATAAAGAATATATGATACACATATATACAGTAGAATGCTACACAGCCATTAAAAAAGAATGAGATCTTTCCATATGTGACAACATGGATGGACCTTGAGGTATTACACTAAGTGAAATAAGTCAGATGGAGACCAACAAATACAGTATGATTTCACTCATATGTGGAATCTAAAAAAGCAAAACAAACAAAATAAAAAAAAAACAACTCATAGATATAGAGAACAGGTTGCTGGTTACTGGAGGGAAGTCGGCTAAGGGGTGGGAGAAATGGGTGAAGAGGGTCAATGGTCTGGTGAAAATGGTAACTAGACTTATGGTGATGATTATTTTGTAGTGTATACAGATGTAGAATTCTAATGCTGTACACCTGAAACGTACATAATAATAAAAAAATGAGATCCCATTTTTGTTCACCAAAATTACAAAAAATTAAACATACTGATGAAGTCCAGGGTTGCCTAGGGTATAGGGAAAAGAAAATTCACCTTCTTCTGGTGCAGGGTGAGTTGTGACAACCTATTTAGAGTGACAAGTAACTGTCAGTAAATATCATCACAATATGATAATAACTATCAAAATTAAAAATATTTTAAACTCTCACTTTTAGATTTACATTCTATAGGAATACTTGCACAAGTGTGCAAGGATATATATAGGGAAAATTATTTGTAATAGCTAAAAATATGAGACAACCTAATGTCAACAGTAATAGAATGGTTGAATGGATACTGAAATAGTCATAAAATGGAAACCTCTGTAGCCATTTAAAAATTAGAGGTAAGTCTGATAAATTATATATTTTAATTGAAGTACAGTTGATTTACAATGTCGTGTTAGTTTCTGCTGTACAGCAAAGTGATCCAGTTATACATATGTATACATTCTTTTTTATATTCTTTTCCATTAAGTCTGATGAATTATTAAGTGAAAATTACATAACATTATGCAGAGTATGATTTCACTTTTGTGAAAACAAATGTGTTCTTGAATGTTCTTCAAAAATGTCCGTGAAAAAAAAAAAAATGTCCGGAAAGGTATCAGAAGTTTGACTGTGTTTACTTCTTGGGGATGGGTATGGAAAGCGGCTGGGGGAATATGTGAGTGGTTGGAGTTTTTTACTTTTTCTACTTTACAAATTATTTATATATGTATATGTGATCCACAAATAATTCTATATTAATTTACAATAAAATGGTAAAAATTAAATGAACATGTGCAAAGGGATATAAGAGACAATCAATTGTACAAAACATATTTCATAGAAATTTACAGTTTAAAGCTGGGTAGAATAGAAATAAACTGTGACTCCCGTAAATCCTAAACAAGAAGGAATTTGATCCCCAACTCCATTTTTATGCACCTGTGTGAATTGCAAAAAAAATCAGAAAATTTAGGGATTTAATTGACACTGGACCCAAACCTGCATATTTTCTAGAACAAAACAATAATGGAGCATTCAAATATTTGTGCATTCTGTTTTGGATCTGGGCCTACCCACACAAATGGACCACCCCACAGACACTGGTGCCTTACTTCTGGAGTTCATTCAGGTTATCATCCACCTTTTCACTCCAGGAAATCTACTCCTCACTCTCAGTTTACTTGGAGGAGGAAGAGGAGAAGAAGGAGAAGAAGGAAAAATGAAGGAGGAAGAGGGGGAGAAAGAAGGAGAAAGCAGTTTTGACCTGCAATACAAGTACAGATTTAAAGCTGAACAATCACTTAACTCCAGAAGCCCACAGGCATAAGCTACAGACCTAGCCTGCAAATAAATTTGGTCTCAATTTGGACTCCAGATTAAAACCAAATTAGGTGACTTTTTGCCTTTATATCAGTAGTTTCTTTAAAAGTGGATATACTTTTTCACAACTAGGTAGGTCCAAACAATAGCCAGAATTGACTACATAGCCATAAAATTTAGTACAATGCCTCTAAAATATCAGAGATTTGGCATTGCTTTCAGTTCAACAAGTTTTTCTTAAAACTGAGCAACTTGGCTAGAGAAGATTTATTAATTCAGTCTGTAATCTAAGGGCAACTGAAGAAACAGCATGAGTCATGTTCATCAAAATTTATGAATCCCTTTTGTAATTGTGACTTTATTTCTACTGCATAGTAATATAATGTTTCAAACTCTGTGATTCCACTGAGCCAAAGACAGATCTTCAACGTAAAATAAATGAGAGATTTGGGTAATATCTTGCAAAATCCACATGGTCAGTTTGAATCTTAATACCTGTACTTCCTGAACAAATAAGTGATGCATTTGTTTTTTCTTTCCCAGATTTAAGTTCAATTTCCTCACCTTCTGGTGTCTCACGTCAGTAAGAAAATACAATCTTGTGAGCCACGATGGAGATTCTCAAGTTGCATCTCTTAGAGGCATTTAATTCCCAAAGACCAAGAGTCATGAAAACTTCAATTAAAAAAAAATCAAACATTAAGTCAAATATACTTCAATAAAAAATAAATAAAATCTAAATAAAATAAAATTCTAGCCATTGCAGTAGGTAAAAAAATTAAATGTCTCCCTGACTTAGCTATTCAACTGCTTTAAGATAAACAAATGTTGCTTCAAGTTCTTTCAAATGTCCCATACCTTGGCAACAATGAAAGTCATTAACATTCACAGTCCTCCATCACATGGGACAATATTTCATACTTGACAAGTTCACAGCAAGAATTTCCAGTAACTGAAACAAAGGAAAGACTTTCTTTGGATTCAAATAAACTGATGATGGACCCTCTTTTCCCTTTTCTTACAGGTGTCCCATCTGTGCCAAATAAGCTCATCTTTATTTGAGGAACATGTAGAACTAAGATGAAGTAATAGAGATGGGAAGAAAATGGGACAAGAGAGTGTCCTATAAAGTAACAGGTTTCATACTTGATTATGACTGGTGGTGATATCTACAGGCAGTTACAAAGGAGGATTTCTAAAACATTTTATCTGCAATCTGCCCAAAACATTTGTATAAGTGGTCAAACTTCCAAGATGACTACTCTAAAAGATAATGCTCCTTTTGGATAAGGTTGTGTTTTTAAATAATAACATCAGCATCTTTGCCTGATAAATCCAATTCTTTATACCCTTTAAAATAGCTGATGAAAAAAATATCAGAGCCTTAGTATTGATTACAATTCAGTTTTTAAACTTTTTGTTTTGAAATAATTATAGATTCACAGGAAGTTCAACTGTGGTATAAAGAGCCCAATGTACCCCTCATGGTATCATCTTATAGCTATAGTATATAATCAAAACTCGGAAATTGGCATTGGTACATTACTGTTAACATACCAATCCCAGTTGGTATGTTACTCAGTTGTAACCTTTTTTAACCAGAATTTATTTGTGTGTGTGTGTGTATAATTTTATACAGTTTAATCTCATGTATAGATTCATGTAACCACCACTACAATCAAGATTCAGCTGTCACATTATTGCAAAAGAATTCCCTCCTGCTACCACTGCGAATTAGCACTCACCACCTCATCCCCTCCTTGTCATCTGGCTACCATGAATCTCTTCTCAATCTCTGTAGTTTTGTTATTTCAAAAATGTGATATAAATGGAATCTTACTGCATTTAACATTTAAGATTGATTTTTCTTCACTAAGCATAATGTCCTTGAGGTACATCCAGGGTGTTTCATTTATCAGTTCATTCCTTTTTATTGTTGAGTAGTATTCTATTGTGTGGATGTAGAGTTTGTTCAACCATTCACCTACTGAAGGGCATCTGGGCTGTTTCCAGTATTTTGCTAGCAGGAATAAAGCTGCAATGAGTATCACTGTACGGGTTTTGTGTAAACATATATTTTAATTTTTCTGTGATAAATGTCCAAGAGTTGATTGCTGAGTTGCATGTTTAGCTTTGCAAGAAAATACCAAACTGTTTTCCAGAGTGGCTGTACCATTTTACATTCCCACCAGCAATGCATGACAGATCCAGTTTCTCTGCATCCTCACAAACACTTGTGTAGTAATATCTCATTGTGGTTTTAACTTGCATTTCCCTAATGACTAATGATGCTGAACATCTTTTCATATCATTATTTTCCATCTATACATTCTCTTCTGTGAAATCTCTTCATGTCTTTTGCCCATTTTATAATTGGATTGTTTCTTTTTCACTGTTGAGTTTTGAGAATTTTTTTTAAAATAACGTATTCCAAATGTAAGGTTTTGTCAGATAGGTGCTTTGCAAATATTTTCTCCTACAAATTCATTTTCAAAAGACAAAAATCAGAACTGGGTCTTAGGTGAGAGGACATTTGATTTTGTAGATTACATTCAAGGATTACATTCAAGGCTATGTGACTTTGATTTCAGCCGTTATTTAAACCCAAACTTTGAGGCTTCTTGATACAGTGATGTCCCAGTGTGCTAAACAAGATCAAAAGATGACAAGTCACCACCACTGGTCAGGATTAGTTCATATGTTTAAAAGGCAGGTGCATTCTGCATAACATCATATTGCAAGGGAACGCTCTTACTCTTGATGAAATGTGTAGTTCAAGAAAGCAAAAAAAATCTATTTTCAAGGCAGCAGAATGATAGGCAACCTGATCTTTAAATCTTATTCTAGGTAATATTCTAAAAATATGTGCTATAAAGTACTATAAAATAATCTGATTTCAGATCCTATGTTTTTTTCTAGTGTACCTTGCTTACTCTAGAAATGGTGACTATACAACTCTAAATTTGAGGGGACAGTTCAAATTTCAAATATTCCAAACCATTGCCTCCATAAACCATTAAAATTACTTCCAAGTATTAGACCATCAAAATTATACCTGGTAGACTTCTCTTTACATCTGACAAAGATCCCTGTTTAGAATATTCCGAGTATGGCTACCTTGTCATATACCCTTCCCTGCTCACACCCCTTATGCTCTAATGGTCATACTCTACACGACATGATCCTGCCCCCTTGCTACGGCTAATCAGACAAAGGAGGGACCCAAAGCACCCATCCATAGGCTGTTCAGTGACCCCTGCTTTGGATTTACTGGTTCAAAAGAAGATGAGCTGGGTCAGTTATACTCCTTTTTCAGGAACTTGGAATTAAAAGGCTGAAGTGAGGGTAAACAACCATAAGAGCTGGACTGAAAGGTCACGACATGACCACTACGGGCCATGTGCAAGCTGGAAGCCAGCCTCTGGAGGGTGGCGTCAGCTGATGCACAGGGAGAAGCAGAGATGCCGTGAGTTTGTGGATAATGTCCCTGAGAGGCAGGTAGAAGGAGTAGCTACTTGGGGGACCTGATGGCTTTCTGACTCTAGCTCTGGTTCCCATTCACACATAGCTTTAGAAGATACTCTGCTTTTGAAATATCTTGAGTGGGTTCTTAGCAGCCAAAAGATTTCTAATTATGACATGCACCTAGTGATATTATTTTTTAATTTGGAAGTTATAGTTGATAGCTATAGAAAAATTTGCATGACCTAATGAGAGCAGCATTCTCTCAAAAAGTTTTCAGTTGACGTAAAATCTCCCCAGAAAGAGAGAGAACTACCACGTACGACTGGTGGGAGTACACAGTTCAGCCTTTCTGAGGGGCAATTGGGCAAAATGTATCTCAAAATAAAAGTATGTGCTATAGATGCTCTTTTTAGAAAGAAATATATGCATGATAACCCTGGAAGCATATATTAAAATAGTAATAATGGTTATCTCTAGATGATAAGATTGTGGATGATTTAAATGTTCTCCTTTCTTATGTTTTTATTTCTTACCATTCTTTTCAAAAGCAGGTGTTTAAAATATGAAAATCAGCTACCAGTTCTTACATTTGCTGGGTGCTTTACAGACATTACCTAATTTAATGTTTAAAATGACCCTATAAGGTAGGTGCTGTTATTCTTACTTTATGAATGAGGAAGTTGAACCTTAAAGATGTTTAAAAAAATGTCTTATGTCGTGACCAGCGAGTGGTACTAAAATGTAAAATCCATGAGATGGGGGATGTTGTCTGTTTCATTCACTGTGGGATCTGTGGCACCTAGAACTCACTAAATATTTTAAAATAAATGATAGGCGGAAGCAGGCTTTGTGCCCAACTATGCCTCACTCCAAAACCTCTGCTCCAAATTCTTTCTCTAAACCAACACTCCAAACAAGCCCTTCTGCAATTTATGACCTTAATTCACCTTTTAATTTACTTTGTTTAAAATAGGAAGAAATCTCAACAACCAAAAACCAAACTACCCAATTTTTTAAATGAGCAAAAGTTGTGAATAGACATTTTCCCAAAGAAGACATATAGATAGCCAACAGGCATATGACAAGATATTCAACATCACTAATTATTAGGGAAATACAGATCAAAACCACAATGAGATGCCACCTCACACCTGTTAGAATGGCAGTTATCAAAAAAGACAAGATATAACAGTGTTGGTGAGGATGTGGAGAAAAGGGAATGCTTGTGCACTGTTGGTGGGAATGTAAATTGGTGCAGCTACTATGGAAAATGGTATGGAGATCCCTCAAAAAATTAAGAATAGAACTACCATACGATTGAGCTATTCCAATTCTGGGTATTTTTCCAAATACAAAAATACTAATTTGAAAAAATATGTGCACCCCTACGTTCATTGCAGCATTATTTATAATAGCCAAGATATGGAAGCAACTTAAGTGCCCACTGATGGATGAATGGATAAAGAAGATATGGTGTATATACAGACAGTGGAATACTACTCAGTCATATAAAAGAAAGAGATCTTGCCATTTGCAACAACATGGGTATACAACCTTGAGGATATTATGTTAAGTGAAATAAGTCAGAGAAATAAAAATACTGTATGATTTCACTTTTATGTGGAATCTAAAACAAAACAAAACAAAACAAACTCATAGACGCAGAAAACAGATTGATGGTTATTGGAGGGGAAGGGGGTTGGGGGGATGGATGACATGGGTGAAGGGGATCAACTGTCTGGTGAAGGATGGTAACTAGACCTTTGGTGGTAGTTACTTTGCAGTGTACACAGATGTCAAATTATAATGTTGTATACCTAAAACATATAATGTTATATACCAATTTTACTTCAATTTTTTAAAAAAAGTTAAAATGAAACAGGAAGAAAAGACCAAAAAATATTTACAGAACATGATGATGCTCTAGGAAATATAAAGGCACATGATGGGTAACTGAATTGCCCTAGTCAGTAAACTAACAAGTTATAGATAAACTCAACAAAGCTTTATATTATATAACCTTTACATTTTATTTAATATGGTGTTTGTAATCATTGCTAAGAAAATTTGGATATGTGACCCTTAGTTTTGAATTCAATTCTGGATTTATTATACCATTTTTTCTATGGAAAAACTCGGCTTCTCTTACATAATTTTGACTTCCAGAAGATTTTCTAGGAGTGTAGTACAATGGAAGAATGAACATTCTTGGTATTATTATTCAAAATCATAATTTATTCCTTAGTAGCTACATAGCCTTTTAAATCAGCATGAAATACTATTTTTGGAGGAAACCTGAAGTTCAAACTATAATTTTGCAATAGTTATAGCAATGTCAACCCAGAGCATTAGAAGAAAGCTTCAACTCATGACAAACATCATATTTCCAGTTCTTGATTCCATTTTAATAATAGCACCACAATATCATAATTACTAGACCTTAGCCAAAAGACCAAGATGCATAAGTCAGTCATAGTTATTAAATTT